CTTCAGTGGCAATCCATCTCCTAGCAGTTCCAATGATTATCAGCTCCACATGATCGTCTACCTCCAAGTTGCTATCATCTCGCAAGCGCTGATTTTTGTCACCCGTTCGCACGGTTTCTTCTTTATGGAACGCCCTTCTTTCGCTCTCTTGGGAGCATTCTGCATCGCGCAGCTGATATCCTCGATTATCGCTGCCTACGCCGATTTTGGCTTCACGCAGATCGCGCCGATCTCAGGTGGATGGATTGGTATTGTGTGGGTTTGGGTACGTATACGTGTCAAGTGTTCTTTCTGTGCCTTTGTTCACTCATGAATCCATAGAATCTTGTTTGGTTTGCCCCTCTCGACTGGATCAAATTTGCAATGAAGGCCACCGTTATCAAGAAGCTCCGCCAGCGTCACGAGGCAGCACAAGCAGAACAGGCCATCACCGGTGTCCCCATCACTCGCACCCAATCCCGCGTTGCTTCGATCCACGAATCGTTATACTCGAACCGTGTGTCCTTCATCCGACGTGCTGCTCGCAAGGTTGGTTTCGGATCCAAGGTTACGATGAAGCCCGAGGAGCTTCAACGCTTCAGCAGTATTCAAGCACAACGTACGGGTGCGACACTCGCTCGCAATCCCAGTCGTACTGCTGCTGCATAGACTTAGTGAGCTGTAGAATGGGGATGCCTGTTTCGAGATTATCTGCAGCAAAGCAAAACACATGGAACGATGTCATCTGTAATCTAGATATTATCAAGGCCCGCCGTCTTTCGCATGTGGTGTCATCCCTCTCTTTGCCTATTCCTACTCATTTCATGTCATCATCACACGTACATATAAGTATACGCATGGCATTGGATCTGGATACCTCGTGCCCTTTTCGTTGGTTGCTCTTGGTTCATTTTTTCTGTGGATCAGGTCGGCCGATGTGTGTTTACTTTTTCCGACTTTCGAGACCCACACTCCTTTTTTCGCGCTATTCTCCATAGCTAATGATTGATCGCTCGGGCAGTAGTGGGGCCTAATTAGCGCTACTCTTATAGATTCCTGCATGTGCGTTCGATGTTTATGATTCATGAAATGCCTACACAGTACATATGTATGCCGTAATTACAACATAACTTAAGACATATACGTCCCTCCATAGAAGGCAATGGCTAAGCGCTGAGCACCCCGACAGGATGATGGTCCATCAATATCAAGGTCTACTTATTGATATATCAGTGGTCTGTTAGAAATAATGATTGAAATTTTGATCTGGATACGCTTGCGACGCTGTCAACGTGTTTTGCTATGCACGGCTGTGCGTGACAACAAGGGAGACCGCCGGAGACCGTCAAATCTGGCTGGCTCCTTCGGACCTCGAGGCATCGCCTTTCCGGTCGTAGAGGAAACCGAAACTAATATTATGGTCTATTCTCGAGATTTTCTGAATTTCAGGGATGTTCAAGTTAGTACATATTCTTGTGTCAGATGCAATACATCAGATGCGGGAATCCCTGTCATGATATAAGGTGTGTGTGAGTGCGAGGAGAACGTTACGCCCCTGCCAGTGCGAGCAACTAACCCCGAATCAAACGCCCACATCAGGTAAGATGCGCATATGCGTACAATCAAATCAGGGGAACAGAAACAATGGAAATAACAGAGATACAATCAAATCTTGTACCTGCCAGCCAACAGCCTCTTAACAGCATACTATGATATGGGAACTATGATACAGGTCACCGCTCAAAAGATTGACGAACAAAATTGTGGAAAAAAATGCGCATGCATGTCACTGTCATGCGCCACTCGGGGTATTTACTGATGAGCACATATCACCGCGGTCATCCTTGGAGATATGGCAGGAGGAAAAAACCAGCGAATAAGCATAGTCTGGGAAGATGGTTCGTTGTCTCTCTGAAGGGCTCGAAGAATCGGACTGTGATTCCGAATTGTCACGGTATCTTGGGGTGATGCACGACTCCGAGGACTCATGTTTTCGTGGGACTTGCCAGGTGCTGACAACGTCAAAACAAGGGTACCTGACACCAGCTCTGCTAGTCCATCCGGATCTGACCGTGGTTATTCGGTCGAACGTCGGGAATCGATGGCGCACTGAGTCCTCATGAGCTCGGAACCCGGTCCTGCGCCACCAGTGATTATGCAAAGGAAGTACAACCTGGTTCCTGGGACGGAATGTGAAAGCATGGTGTCGTGAGGCTCGGTCCAAGAGTCTTCCCCATTATTTTTATAGCGGACACGAGGGCATTCAACGCTACGGACTGCTCTCATCGCTCTTTATGAGGGGAAATCCGAGATAAGCAGAATCCTACGATGGGATGATATCGACGTCCATGGAATCGGGAAACAGAGGTTCTCGTATCGCAGGGTCCTAGGCTACATCAGCGAAAGGCTCTCCAGTCCGTGTCCCATGCCCATGTTGACATCTAGGCCATTCATAGCATCTCAATCGGATGCGTGGGAGATACCAAACGTCGACTTTTCATAGCTCTATCTGCCGAGGCGTGGCCCAGCCTCTTTTCGTGAAGATGCTATATGTGGGAAGCCAGTTTGTGTCGGGACTCGGGGTAGCGCATGTCGTTTGCCTTGTGTTTACGACCCACGTAGGCTTCATGATTGTTCGCAACTTCACACATCTATCTTCAAATGTTTTTTTGGCCACCTGCCTGTTTCTCGTAGAAACACGCTGAAAATACTAGAATTCTAAAGTAACGCTCGACTACTTATTCATCGGATACCATTTCAAACCAGACAGGACGTGGGCGACCAGTCAGTGTCGGTGTCATCATGAAGACCCGACGCAAAGTTAACCGCAAAGGAAAGTATTTGAATGCGAGGGCCGGCTTACAACTGGTCGGCCTGTGAGGGATTGGGACCTGCCCGCGAAGGACCAGGTTACGAGAAACTAGCGCGTGAACCCGAGGAAGGCCCATTTATCGACGCTTAAGTCTTTGATCTTTGTAAATGTGTATAATCACAAAAATGGCGTCTTCGTAGATGCTTTCTTGTTCTTTAGAGGACGGACAGGTGGTGCAGTCACGTAGTTCCTGAAAAAATGAGTCGATGCAAGACAAAGAAGCATGCTGCTACTTCCACGGCTGCAAATTTGTGGTCAAGGAGTTTCGCGCGGATTTCCACCACCACCATTGCAAGTCATGTCGTCCCTGCTGTTGCTCCAGCCAACAGCATCGGAATGAAGTGGATAGGGTAGTCGCGAGAAGGTGTTTCCGTATCATTGCACTGGTAACTTGTCGACCGAAATTGTAGCGTTGAAACCATTTCATTTTAGCTTGAAGTTGGACTGCATGACAAACTATTGGATTGGTTGACAACTGTGCAAGTTTTTTGTCACTTCATTCGACATCTTGTGGCGCCATCTTAGAAAGCTCAGAGCTATGAACCTCGATCTGGCACCCCAAACCTTGTCGTTTGAGTGATGGGTGCCTCATCGCTGTTCAGGGGGATATTAACATCCTAAGTGGTAATAAGAAGGACGATCGGGTGATGTTGGAGCATGGGCTAGTGTGGGTAACTTGAGTTGTTGGCACGAGTTAGGCCCAAGCGTTACTAACTTATCTGCCACAGTACCTCTTCCCACTAAGGTCCGAATCGTCAATTCCGAATAAACATGCGGCAGAGTTAATTCCGAAGCTGAAACGATACGAATATTAACGACGGCCAAGATCGGAACCTTAGCTATCGTGTGTCATTGAGTTCAGGCTAACGATTCCGGTCTGTGGATGTCCGTTCGAGTGGTCCTTGCCGCGGAGAATTGATCACTTGGTCTCCTGTGATAATTATTAGCACAATATTAATAACTTGCTGAGGCACCTGGCCTAGAGACTGGAGGTAGCATGCAGCATGATGCAGGTCGTTGGAAATGCGTTTGTCAGCTGGCATGCATACTGTAAGTACTTAGTAAGCATGCTTTGAAGTTCGCACACGACAAATTTACTGTGATTCCTCGCTCTGCAGTGACGGTTGTTTAAAACTTAACTTTTAACACATACTGAAGAACAAGTTCTTCATTGTCATTGACGTTGAATACTGCATCAGTCAACGAAAATTTGATTGAAACTTGATTGCACAACACAAACCTTGTTGTAAAACAGCAACTATCTGCAACTACTCGAAATCAAGTAAGTACTTCGATGCTTTCAATTCAACTTCATGCTCGACGAAGCTCAAGCGCTCACAGGCGGCCAGTATTCACAATGCACGTCGTAATTGTGCCCACCCTCAAGCCAATCAAGCCCAGCTACGAATTCGATGGTGCAGCTACTTGCCAGATTCAAGCATGATTGCGACTAAGCAACGCATCATGATGACTTGAGTTGTTATCGATTATCTCCTGGTCACTGGGATGCAAGCAGATTGCCACTTTATTTCCGCTGTCTGAGACTATTTTTCTGGTATCAGTGTGATCCTTTGGGGTCGGTGACCCTATGCCAGATATGTCTCGTCATGAGCCATTCATCGATCCTAATGGCCGTATCCTCGCAAGCGCAATTGATGCGCACGTGCAAGTCTGTGCATGTCATGTAGAAGGGCTGGTCGAGATACTGACATTCTGGAATATTCGGTTACCGTGCCCTCGGATATGTCTGCGACTCTCCGGAGTGAGACTTCGAATTCCTGAACTCGAAAGGAGGTTAAGTTCTTGGCTTCGATATTGGCTGTGAAATGTATGGGAGTAAACTCTGTTATTGATTAGAATATTGACCGGGACACCCAGAAGCCCCACCCTGTCTAACTTCATGCCAGATTACTGCAGTCGTGCTGCGGTTTGCGCAAGGTTTGCAGCACAGTACTGTCTGCTTCGCTTGATGCTCTTGCATGTCGAATTCATTGTCTTGGCATAGGTTGAATTACCAAGAAGTCGTTCGTGCGCTGGGCGGACGGCGTCGATGTCGCCGCTAGTCACCTCCCACGGATTGCTATTGCTGAACATTGGTGGCTTTGCCATGTAAGCTCTGTCTCTGGCTTATAGGAATCTTACAAAAGCCCAGTACTATACTTGTTGCAGACCCGGCGTTTTGGCAACTAAGCTATCACCTGTGACATGGCATCTTAGCTGACTTCCTTGTGTCGTCTTTAAGTACTTCGAGCTGCTGCCACATCTCAGTCATCAACCAGCAACTTCCAAGCTATGTCGCGATCTTGGATTGGTCCTGGTGTGGCCTACCTCACTCGGGGTTTGCTTTCTGTCATTTTTCCGACCGCTTCTTCCGTCATCATTACGGAACGTATGGCCTCTACAGGGTCTTCGAGTCTCTCCATGGCTTTTGTCGGTGGTGGTTTTGGGTGCAGCGTCTCTGGCTTTGCAGCTTATGTCGAGATATCGCAGCGACGAAAGGTCACTCGACTTGGTGCTAGACTCATTCCTGGTGTCCAGGGCAAATGGCTTGGAAATCTGGACAAGATGGTCCAGAGGTCCGAGAACAAATACCTTGGTATAGTTCCCATTTCACGCATTTCATGTTCGTGCTTTACCTTTCTGTCCTGGACGATTTATGCTGGACGAGATCAAGGAACTTGGGCCGACTCATAATTTTCGGAGGACGACATCCTGACACGGAGTCCCAACACATAAAGGTATCTCCAATTTATATTCGAAGACATTAATACAACCTAGCTCCACGCAGACCATTCTCGCAATTGATTTTCATGCGAGGTACGTTCTCAGGCTACCTCAAAGATGCTAGACTTGAGCAACAAGCTTTCAGGGATACCACACATGACAACACATGGACGTCCCCAAAACTTGGGAGGAAGCTAGCGTTGGAGTTCGATCCGGATAGATAGCTCGACGAGCGCGTGCAGAAATATCTGCTTCACAATCCCTTCATTTTCCTTCTATTTAATACAGGGCCGAGGATCTGCTCTGGGCAACAAGTACGTCGCTCATGGAGTTCCTCATTACCGCCACCCATCTCATACCCACTGTTTGTCCCAGGGGAAGTCTGTATGTGTTTGATTCGATCGTTAAGATTCATCGCATGACTACTTGATCAATTCATTATGCACAGGAGAACTGATCTATGGGGACCAGATGGTAAGAAGCTTGAATTTCGTCTACATAAAAATTCCGTGTTCCTATTTCGTACTTTAGTTTGCCTACAACGAAATGTCCAATATGCTCATTCGCTTGCTGCAATTTTTTTCCGCGATTACACTGGCCCCTGAGCACGCAATGCATCCACCTGCGTGGTGGGCTGAGAAAGATGGTCGGCAGGCAATCGAGCGGTTCAGGCCGAGAAACCACTTGACATTTTATACCAAGGCAGGTCTCTCTGACATGCTTTGCAGCCATCTAACTAGGTTCTCCCTGGCAGGATGGTATGTGGGTCAAGATGGAAGCTGTAGATGATATCGAAGTCATACACTGACCAAATACGACTTTCCTGCTACTTGCAGACACATTAAGTAACATCGACATGTCATATTACCAATATTTTTTGCAAGTCTGAAGAAGTGAAAAGTTTCCACGTGAACGAGATGGAATTGCTCGTTCAAATACAATTATTAGTAGCCTTGTAAACATCGAGAAGTAGTGATTAGAACACATTTCAACGAATGACGTGTCATAGATACAACAAACCCTACTCGCAACACCTATCATCCCAAACAACCAACACCTCCATAGATTCCGAATATATAATATAAATATTCACGCTGGGTATGAGCGTCAGATGGATACATGATCATTTTAGTTGGAGACCGCAGAGGTAGACGAAGTGGTTGCGAAGCCGACTTGGCGGTTAGTGGCGTCGAAAACAGAGTAGAAGCGTTGACTGTACGGCAGGTAGTTAGCTTTATACCAATCAAGGTCACGTAAAATACAGACAGGAATGAGTAACCGTTGATGAAGTCGAGACCATTGCCAGAGTTGAACCGATATCATTAACGACAAGGTAGATGTTGTCGCTGCTACCACCGATGTCAGTGTTAAGGGAGCGGGGCCAGATTTGGCCGTTGGGGGTGAGGCCGTAGGAAGTGCCACCAATGTTGAAGTTCAGGGTTTGCAGGTTAGCATACTGGTCAGAGGTGATCATCAAAAGACCAGTGTTGCTATCCAACGTAGCACCAGTAGCAGACTGGTACTTGTCGAATGCATCTAGTATTCTCCAGTCAGTCGGGGCGGCCCATTATAAGTAGTTTATCATACCAGTGGCGATGAGAATGAGGGTTGTCCCAGTGTCGACGATACCAGCAGTCGCGGACAAAATGGTGGAGCTACCGTAGGCGATCGATTGATCGATACCCCAGTATTCGCTAGAAGGCGACGTGGTTGTGAGAGGCACGTAATTCACTGAGCTCGTCGTCTTTGAGCTGTCGGAGCCACCAAAGGTGAGCTCGCCAGCGCTGCCACCAGGAGCAAAGTAGACTCCGAGTGCCTCGGTGCCAATGGCACCCTTGCTGTAGAGGTTGTCGGTGACAGTGGGGACTAAACCAACATTGGAAACGGTGCCCTGCGTCAGGTCAGTCGGTCCGACACCAAGAATTCCATCGACGCCATTAAAGCCTTGTGCATTCTTTGCGACACCAATAGATTGTCCGGTAATGACCAAATCAGAACCGAGAGTGACTGTATCCAAGTATTCCTCTCCGGAAAAACTGCCGGGACCATAAGAGACGGACTAAAGGGTTGTTGTGAGCAACTTTTTAGCAGAGAGCATGAATAGACATACGACAGAGCCACCAGTATCCACACTAGTATTGGTGCGTGTGTATGGGGTGTTTGCACCCACCCAGGTGTTGGAACTTCCCGTATCAATGAGGAGCGTGTCTGAGAAATTCCTTTAGTCGAAAATATCTGAGGTCACCCGATGGCGAGTCTTACACTGAGTTGCAGGGCTGCCGACACCAACTTGGGCAGTGTAAGCCATGACAGCACTGGCTATGCTGAACGAGGAGCTGCCAGCACGTTTGCTGAAACTAGCGTTTATCATCGCCTGAGCACGAGCCCTGTCAGCGTCAGCGATGTTGGCATCACTAGCCCTGGCGTTCATCCTAGCGTTGAAGGCAAGGGTCGGCGCAGCGGGGATGCGTCCACAGCGCACAGCGCAATAAGGACGATAGAAAGGAGAGCCTTGGAAGGGAACATCTGAAGGTACTGGGTGAGGAATGATATCAACTGGAAGTGAGGCTTCAATCGTCAGTGCAAAGACTTTATATGTGTCCTGGCCTCCAACATAACCATGCGATACCCACAGTCTCAAGTCATACAAGACGCGGGACTTGCTGTATTTCCGTCCCATCCCAGGGAGATTACGAGATATCGATGAGAGGTCTCCGAAAACAACATTGCTGCACGCCGTCGTTACCAGAAAATGATTCATTGCTATAGAAATCAGAGAGTCCAGAGTCTCATTTCGACGAGGCTTAGCAGTCGCGCAGAAGATTTACCGGACTGTGAGTATTATGGTATTTCGGTACGCCATCATGATCGAGTACGTTGCCTACCACGTTCTGGCCAGAATCGGTGCAAAGAACATAGAGTTTCGCCTATCAGACGGAGCTTGCAGAGGATCCTAACTTTGTCCTCTGCTAACCACGACATGACAAACTTTCCGACATGTGCATGAGGGCTATACTTTTTCAGACTCGTTATAGCTGGCCATACCAGTACAACTGAATCAGACTCGTTATAGCTGGCCATACCAGTACAACTGAAACACACCATGAAGAACCCACACATGACCGGCACCGCCCCTGGGAACGAATCTCGAGATCACTCATGCCTGATGATCTCAAGAATTGCGACTCGGAGACCTAACGTGGTACGCACATTATGTGCGACAGTAGAGTCCCGAAAGCCCGATTATCATGATGTTCATACCGCCACGTTGCTTATGCGGTAATCGAAGGCCGCCCACGCGCTGCTCATAATCGTACTGAATACTGAACGTTGAACGAGGCTGGACAACGCACTGTTATGAATAAGTTTTGTTGGTCGTAAGAACCTCATGAAACTCCTAGTGTCATCATCAAGCCCGTTGAAACTTGAGAAGCCAAGCTGGTAATCCTGATGTTGATAGCGGTCATGTGGGTAAAGTTTATTATGAACTGCCGAGGCTACTGAATACATGGTACTCTCTGACGGTAGTATTGAGGGTGAAACAAAAGCAATGCATTTGTAACTCAGCGAAGATGATAACGATTTTATGTAATTGGCTAGATGATTATAGTTTGATTAGCATTAATGCCAACGACGACTTGAAAGACTCAGATCAAACACTCTGCAACACAACAACCATCATGCGCACGCTGTGGTTAATATGTTCCATTCCTTTGGGGGCCGGACTGAATACAAGGTCTCTGTGCTCAGTGTTCATCAAAGTCACCGGCCTGCAGGTGGCGGTCAATCAACTTTTGGTTGCGGTGCACGCGGGCATTACTTTGAGGCTGACTCCACTCCTCAATTTGACCATAATATCTATTGGCGTCCTCATGCCCTCGAGGTTGTTAATATTGATAGTACACTCACGTCACGCGATGCGGCACGATTCGTCGGCCACCATTTTGATCTAGAACGCACTTCAGCAAATTCACCGACGTGGGCGAGAATGAAAGCTTTGAAAGTGTTGCGGGGATTGGGCAAACTTGTGTCCATCCTGTAGCAGTCCTATCGCGCGTGCGCCCGTCAATGGCGCTCAGGGACATAGAGAAATCAATCGCGATACTCAGGTCCCCGGGCTTTTGTCATGATACATTCTTCCCATCTAAATCACTAGATGATGTTCTTTCATCACCCTCAGGATCTACTCCTGGGTCCTGGTGCACATGCAGACTGCAATCGAGGTATCCTCCTACGGTGCCTACTCTACCTATGAGCGTCTCCGCTGAGCTTCATCAATAACCGCTTATGACTGGAGACGACACGACGTGTTGTAGCTCTCTTTGCGTATGAGGGATATACACAATGGCACTGGTTTGTCCTTGAGTTCACTTCGTGGCTCGCATATCCTTCGTGGATTGGGAAACTCGATTCAGACTACTCTTGGGCTGGTTCTTACAATTTTTTACTTCTTGAACTCCTTTGTGGAGTGTCATTTACCCGGTGTCCATGGTCTCCGCTTGCCTCCTAACTGGTCGAAAGGAACATAGTCGAAGGATGGGAGTGATGTGTATGGTATGCAGTGTTTATTCCTATTTTCACCTCCCAAGTTTACCTGGTAAGGACTAGTTCTTTTTGTATTCGTAGCAACCACTTCATCATCTATTTATATGCATATTATTCCCGAAGTTCTGCTATCATCAGCAGCATTATGCTTATCGCTGCTGCGTCTCACTAAGAATTGCGCTGAATGATCCGGTGTGATTGCGACATCTTGAGACACAAGCTCGTCGGGTGGGCGCCAGTTGGTGCATATAGCATGGAAGATATGTTCCTCGCACACTTGACTATTTACCCGTCAACATGCAGCCTCCAGCAAACAAGCCCGCACACGCCATCCCATACTTTACCCCTGCGCAGGTCCCCGCTGCAGGCACAGCATTTGACCCCCAGCCCGATGGAACTCGTGTACCAAAGTTGTTCCAGCCCATTAAGATTAGAGGGACGACATTTCACAACCGTATCTTCGTGAGTCATCGTATCGATCGATGAGGTCCCCTGATGTCCCATCCCAATCTCGTGTAGCTATCTCCAATGGCTCAATATTCTGCAGACGACGGTCATCTCACATCCTGGCATATGGCGCACCGTAAGTTGATGAATCTCAGGCATGATAGAAGTACTCACGGCATTCAGTGGGCGGCATCTTCACGCGTGGTCCTGGTCTTTCTATGATCGAAGCCACAGCGGTTGTCGCAGAGGGTCGCGTCACTTCTGAAGACTCAGGACTCTGGAAAGACAGCCAAATCGAGCCCCTCCGCAAGATAGTCGAGTTTGCCCATTCACAAAACCAAAAGATTGGCATTCAGCTTGGCCACGCTGGCCGGAAAGCGTCCACCGTTGTGCCGTGGTTAAATACGGGTCTTGCAGCGACTGAGAGCATGGGCGGATGGCCAGACAATGTATGGGGGCCTTCCACGGTCCCTTACAAGGACACCTTCCCTGTGCCTAAGGAACTATCGAAGGCGCAGATCAAGGCGATCGTCGTCGCATTTGTAGAAGCTACGAAGAGAGCGTTGAAAGCTGGCATTGACGTCGTTGAAATTCACCACGCACACGGCTATCTGCTGTTCTCCTTCTTGAGCCCCATCAGCAACACACGCACAGACGAGTACGGCGGAAGCTTTGAGAATCGAATTCGTTTAACTCTCGAGGTCGTGGATGCTATCCGTAACGTTATTCCTGAAGACATGCCACTCTTCCTGAGGTATCTTTGAGTCCATAAGATGTTCTTGCTTGATCTGAATGAT